CATGTAAATGTGTTCATAACTTGGGGGAGGATCCAATGAGTCCACATCTTAAAATGTGAACGTGAGACCCATTCTCAGCCTTTGGATCTGGCTTTTAAATCTACGGTCAGCATCAAAATTATCGATTTCAACTCTCACGCGCACCAAAACAGAAAAAATATCTCAAATTTCCTTCTCACTCACGATTCTCTGCGGTTTCCTTCTCAATCTCGATTTCCTTCTCAGTTTGAATTTCGATTTCATCATCTGATTAGGTTAAACCCTCGTTTTTATTGATCCGATAAACATACCCAACTGCATATCAAAATATCCAGAGGAAAAAGTCGATCAAAATCATCACATTCGTAAGGTTCATGAGATTTGTCTGCAAATGTCGGCAGAAGCAGCTTCAATGGAGATCGAAGCAACTCCAGTTGCGACATTATGGAAGAAGGTGTACCGATTTTATTTTTTTCCAAATCGATTCATTGAATTTTAAATAAATACGTGCTTCTGAATTCAACATTCATGTGAATCGAGTTATTTAATTAGATCGATCACATTATATTAGGACAACTGTTCGTGCTTATCTGCAATTCTGATTTGGAGGTAGAATCTATGTTTTCTAATAAGCATATTACATATGTTGTGGTTTATGAATACATGTGCATGGAGAAATAACTAAATATGCAATATGTATTAATAATTATGCACGTAGAAATTGGGTGTTGCACTGTTATGCTTGCACATTAGATGAATATATAATAAAACAAACTATGCATGAAAGAATAAATAATTATGCATGATTATATCAATAAGTATGCACGTCATAATTGCTTGTTCATTCATCCAGATGTTCTGCATTAGAAACATATATGCAATGTCGTATATCTAACTGAGCAACTTTGTTGAACTAAGTATGCAAAAGTGTCATGATAAGAATTCACGTTATAATTGCAGTTGTTTTATATTATAACTGTATATGCACCGTTTTAATTATAAAATAGCAACATTGTTGGACTAAAATTGCAACAGTTATCAAAACTTGTTTTTCTTCTTATATTTTGAAGTAGGTACTACTCATGAGGGATCTCAGATTCAATTGGTGATATCGCCAAATTTAACAAAGTATTGGATGTCAATCGTCCAACAAGATATAAAGCCTAAAGTCGGAATGCTGTTTTCAAACCTTGATAATGCAAAGGAATTCTACAGAAACTACGGAGCAAATGGTGGATTTGATGTGCGGACTTACACAACAAAACGGTTTAGAAGTGGCGTGATAAATAAACAGTATATGGTTTGCAATAGAGAAGGATTTAAGCCAGAAAACCCACAAAATACTTCAAAGAGCATGTCACAACTACATTCTGAGTCAGGTGTGGTTCTACGACACTGTGTGTCGAAAAGGGTTGGTTGCAAAGCTCGAGCAGTATTTGAGTATGATGGAAATGGGTACAAAATCGCCGAATTTGAAGAAAAACATTGTCACGCCCTGTCATTGGAGACACAATATCTCAATGCAAACCGGAAATTGAATTACGGACACCAGAAATTTATTCTTAATTGTGTGAGAGCAAACATTGGCACAGCTAAAAGCCATAGATTGTACAAGGAGATGCTTGGGGGAGATGCTAACGTTGGTGCTCTCAAAATGGATTTCAAGAACTACAAGAGACAACTTATGACTTACATGTCAGGAGCAGATGCACAACTCATTGTTCAAAAATTCCACCACAAACAAGAAGTATGCCCAGACATGTCATTTGAGTACACAGTTGATTGAAATAACAAATTAAGCAAGATATTCTGGGCAGACCCAATTTCAAGAAAAAATTACCTGCTGTTTGGAGATGTCGTCTCATTTGATGCAACCTACGACACTAACAGGTACCTCAACTCTTATTGGTGACTACTGCATATAAAAAAAATATATTGTTAAAGTTGTGATAATACATTTGCAATATGTTCAAATTGTTATGATATCTCTTATTGTTATAGTTGTGAGTGTAATGAATTAAATATGCAGCATGGTTGAACTAAATATGCATTTGTTTATAACTTAGAATGCATCAATGTATATATAGAAATAAGTATAGAGATTTTATTTTGACACATAATAGACTGCATGACTGGACAATTAAGTATGCATGTTTTTATAACTAAATAGGCAACTAGTGTAAATTTATATATTGTCATAACTAACTAATTTTTATTTTATACAGGTACAAGATGGTGTTTGTACCATTTACTGGAATAGACAACCATAAAAAGTGTGTAACATATGCAGTTCGATTGATTGTTAAAAAGGATGAAGATCCTATATTTGGTTGTTGGAAAATTTCTTGAAGGCTATGGGACATGAACCATATTACATTGTTACCGACCAAGATCCCGCCATGAAGAAAGCTATCCAGGCAACTTTCAAACATGCGAGACATCGTTTATGCATGTGGCATATTATGGAAAGGGTAAAGGTAAAGGTTGGTCCCACTTTAGCCAAGGATAATACATTCCTCAAGAGATTAAATTACATAGTCTGGGATATTTTTATTACGCCTCCAGAATTTGAAGAAAAGTGGGGAAATTTGATGAATGAGTTTGCCTTGACAGAAAATCATTGGTTTTGTAATCTGTTTAAGATTAGAAAGTCATGGATCCCAGCATACTTTAGAGATGTGCAAATGGGTGGTTTGCTTAGGACAACTTCGAGATCAGAAAGTGCAAATAGTTGGTTTGGAAGTTACATATCTCAACATGCAAACTTAGTTGAGTTCTTTATGCATTTTGAAAGTGCAATGGATGCACAAAGGCATGTTTCACGTAAAATGCACCATGAATGTATGACTACACCTCCTGATTGCAAGACACCATTAGAAATAGAGAAACATGCTGCAAAAGTTTATACTAAGACAGTATTTTCTGAGGTACAAGCAGAAATTGAGGCAGCATGTTTTCGGTGTGTGCCTATCCAAATCCAAAAGGAGAATGATGTAACAAGATATAAAGTTGTGGAAATTGGTCGTGATGATCTTGATTTCATTGTAGAAAAAGGTCCAGATTCTGTACATTGCAACTGCAAGATGTTTGAACAATTTGGATTATTATGTCGTCACATACTAATGTTCATCAAGGATTTAGACAGAATACCTGATCACAAGGATTTAGACAGAATACCTGATCACTACCTTCTTAACCGTTGGCTGAAAGCTGCATCTTCAGGTAATGAGTTTGAAAATGGAAAATTAGCTACAGTACATGGCGACAACCATCGAAATCGCTATTTAAACAGATTGTGGTCTGATTTTCACTGTTGTGTATCGCTTGCTGAAGATGATGAGAATAAGTTGGCTAGGTTATCTAGAGTTCTCAATGATGAAAAGAATTACTTGTTGGGTGGACGACAGGATGGGGGTTCAGTCTTAAGCAAAGAAGGAGTTATGGAAGACTTTTGCGGTTCAGTTTCAAATCTGGAAGTAAATATTCTTCCTCCAAAGCAAGCAAAGAACAAGGGAAGTGGAAGCACCACAAGAAGCCGATTGTTATCACAACGAGAAAAGTCAATCAAAGAAAGCCAAAAGCTGAAAAGGCGTTGTGGAAAATACGGAGAAATAGGAAATCATAATAGTAGAACTTGTATTAAGACCAATGAGAATTCTGATTGTAACACATAGTTATTTGATGTTTTGTTATCAGATATTATATGATGTATAGAGAAATATTAACTCCTTTAAATTGCTTTCTTTATAAATATGCATCTTAATTAGTTACGCTAAATATGCATCTTTTGTACACTATTTAGGCAACGAAATTACAGTAAAATAGCAACAATGCATACAGTAACCATGCAAGAATTTAGTAGATAGTTTTTACATCTCAACTACACTAACTATGCATCTCATGTACAATATTTATGCAACAAATTTACAATAAAATAGCAGTAGCTGAGTAACCATGTGAGAATTCAGCAAGTATTTTCATTTTTCCACTAAATATGCATCTTTTGTACACTATTTAGGCAACGAAATTACAATAAAATAGCAACAATGCTTACAGTAACCATGCAAGAATTTAGTAGATAGTTTTTACATCTCAACTACACTAACTATGCATCTCCTGTACAATATTTATGCAACCAAGTTACAATAAAATAGCAGTAGCTGAGTAACCATGTTAAAATTCAGCAATTATTTTCACTTTTTCCACTAAATATGCATCTTTTGTACACGGGCGGCG